GTGCCGATCAGTGTGGCACTCAAGTGCCGCTCCAACCGGTCCGCCACAGCCCCGAAACGAAAGACCAGGGTAAAGCACTTTGGGCTTCCGCACCTCCCCAGTTTTCCCCACCCATCTCGGCCTCAACCTTCGTCAGATTGCCCAGACGGATTTCATCCTGGAAAGCGAAGAGGGCATCCATGACGTCCCGTTTCTTCTTCCCGTGCAGCACCTCTTCCCGCCCCGGCTGTCGATCACTTAAGGGCCATTCTAGACCCAATGCCTTAGTAACCTCTTCCAGCCACTTGTCTCCTCCACCTGCCGCGGCCGCCTGATGCGTGGCCCCGTCCCCCAACCCTGTCCAGAGCTCCTCCAGTGCGCTGCTGTTGATGGTGAAGACCCATTGTTGCGCATATATCCTGTCCACGCGCTCTTCTTGGCGATAGCTCGCGCTGTTAGCCACCCGACAGTGTTTTCCAACTCTGACACCCTTGCACCAATCGGAGCTTCATCCACCTCTGCCATTCCTGATCCTGGTGGGTCCCGGTGAAACCTGTGGAACACTACGAGTACTGTGATCCGAAATGCTGCCACAAGACATACCTGGTGTGAAGACTGGCGTGTAGCCGTCTCGAGAAACCTCCCATTGGGAGTCTTTGAGAAGTCGTGAGACAGACACATGGCCGTCCTGACTCTCATCTAGACCTGACGCCTATCAACACCTCTCCCTACCTCTGTGCCTTCCCCTAGGTAGTATATAGTTTGGACTTAACCCTGTCTGGTTGGTTGAAGGTTGGCCCTGATCTAAACTCTAAACTCTACATTTTCTTGCGTGCATTCTGCAGGAATCGTCGGTCGCATATACCCTACCACATCGATCACATGTTCGATTAGCTAGTTCAGAACTCTTACAGCGTGCCACATGAGCAGGCAAGTTCCGCACAATTGTTTGGAGCCCGCGCTTGTAGCACTGTCCCGGAGCCGCTTGTTCTGGCCTCATTTGGAACACAACCGGGGGGGAGGGGGTGCAGCCGCCTTAGCTGCCCTTACGGACCCTGAGCAACCTTAAATCTAGAATATTAGTCCCACAGTGTCGACAGGTGTAGTTTGTATCGGCATCACCGCGGCACCTTTCTTCATGTGATTTCACGCTTATAGCCTGGAGTTCACTACCCCGTGCGTACCTGTCATAGAACCTCATCCCACAATGTCCGCAAACCTCAATCAACCTCGGGTCCCTTCCTTGAATATCTTCCCAGCCCACCGGAACCTCCGCCCACCTGGCCCATTGTGGGGTACAGTTCCCTGCAGCACCTAAATCAGCATATTTGTCCGCCGCATCATTCCAATAATCTCCGCTGTGCCCTTTGACGTGCCAGAATTCCAACGGCCGAGTGACCCGCACCTCATCTACCAAGTCCGCTACTTTTTGAGCTAGGGCAATATTACTTTTTGGTTGTGCCACCCTAACCGCTATGTCCCTAGCATACTCAGAGTCATAATGGATTTCTGCACCCGCAACATTCCCCGCAGCATCCGGTTCATCCTTCCTTTCTAACAACCATAAACATGTTTCAGCTATTGCCGACAGTTCCCCGGTGTTATTGGACAGCCGTTCCGCACCCAAAAAGTTTGGATCCCAAGGCGCAATAAGTACCGGTCCAAATAGCACGAAATCAGGTGTGACTGGACGTGCCGGTGGCGCGTCATATACTACTGCGGCCCAACCTGCTTTCCCGTGTGCTCCCGACCCATCCGTGTAGATATGACGAAACACCGGTGCCTGACCTTCCCCTACGGACTCTAAAGGGGGGTCCCCTTCCCTGAACACATGTGCTAACCGTTCAAGTGGGTCGCGTGCGGGAGATTCATGATGGCGTTGCAAATCTAGTTTGGGAAACCAGACCAAACAGTGTGTGCATTGAAACGCTGGGGTGGTGGTCACCGCGGGGTTACATATGGCATGACAATTTTCATAATGGACTTGCCTGGCATTTCCATGTTCAAAGGACATTCTACAAACCCAACAGCCGTACCTTCCTGGCGTATCGACATGTACCGGGACCAGATTGGGGGCGGGGGGGCTATTGTCGGGGAGGGGAGTACCGCGCCTCCAAGAATCTAAACGGGAATGTTCCTGAGGGGATAGGGTAAGGTCTGGGAATGCCTGTTGTATCCTTTTCCTCCATTCAGTACGATTCTGCGCAAGCCGGAACCAATCTTCGGATTGGATCTGAGCATGAGCTAAACATCGTTCCATCCACCTAGATTGGCCTATCCATGTATGAGCTTTCATAGACCGACCTTTCCACCAACCAAATAACGCCTATCTTGGCCTCCGACTCACTCCCATCCTAGCGATATGTCCCAACCAAACCAAAGATGCCTTCATGACCATATGCGCCGTCGTCGGCCATCCCGCTGCCTTACGAAGCATTTCCCCCGATATGTGGTTGTCCACTAGTTCACGCTGCTTGATTCCCCAACACCTTCGTAGACAACTTTTGAGGATTGGTCTAGACGGGTGATCAGCAAGGTATTCCAGGATCGCGTACGCGCTGTTGCTAAGGCTGTAGGAATGACCACCGCTTTTGCTACGGTCAATCTGACCGATCGTTTCATTTGACACACGCCTGTAGCCTGAGCCTCCAAACGACCAACTACGCGCTGCTGCTGACATTTTCCTAGACACTTGCAAACGCCGCTTGTTGTTTTCGATAGTTGGGATACCCGGTGCCGAGACCCACCCCCCTACATGTTTAACCGCCTCCGCCTCACCATGGTTTGCGACATCTGTTCCCCGTAGGCCTCGACCGGCGATCCTTAATAAACCTTCCGTTTTCAAGGGGCGTACCTTTTCCTCCCAATCCTTGCACACAACCGTGAACAGTTTTTCAGCCTCGTAAACCTCTTCTGCCACCCCGCAGATTCCAGTATCGTCGGCATACCCAAAGTCCCCCAAAAGCACTTCCCCGGTCCCCCGCCCACCCTGGAACCTGCCCGCCTGGCGCTTACACAGTTTACCATCCCAAACCAAGCCAGGGGTCAGACCACGAGCCTCAGCTAATTCCGCCCGACGGATTCTATAATCCTGGAGTACAGCATCATGAAAGATGTTGGATAATACTGGTGAGCTCGGACATCCCTCCCGTAGACCACGATCGGGGACATAAGACCCAGAACACCCTCCGTAGATTCGTACCTTCATGGCAGTATGCTCATGCAACCCTTGGAGGACCTTCAACATCCCCTCCGGACATCCCCGACGCCGTAACACCTCCCACATGGCTGCCCTGCACTCCCTCGGGTAAGCTTTCTCGATATCGAAGAACCGCAGAAGGACAACCTCCTCGGAGTCCACCCTCGTTACCTCCTCCGCAATCCTCCTTGACACCTGCAACACATCGTCCACTCCCCTTGCAGCCCGAAAACCCGTCTGAGCCTCATGTAACCAATTATTGCTCCACCTAGAGAGTCGCTTTGCGTATACGGGCCAACACCTTGGTACCAACACTCAGCAGCGTCACCCCACGCCATGTGTGTTTATCTGCCCGATCCCATTTCTGTGTCCATAGTGAACCACCCTACCTGCCATTCGGATGGCCACAAATACGCCTCCTGGCCTGCCTCTGCCTCCACTGAATACTTCCAGGCTCGTACCACTATTGAATGTAATTCTTGCAGCAGACATGAACCTCCATACTTCAGGAATTCAGCCATGAAACCATCCTCGCCTGATGCCCGTCGGTTCTGCATTTGCCCCACACACCTTTCGACCTCCTCTTTAGTTGGAAGCGTTTCCAACCACCGCGCTTGCTCTCCCACCCTAGGAATGTTTGTCCACACCTCGTCCGCTACCTCTCCAACCCCAGTTTGGATCGCCGAAAAATGTGCCTTCCATGCCTCCCGTTCCGCTTCAAGGTCTAGCGGCAAGACTCTGGAACCATCCCCTTGCCTTAATGTCGTGTGTGCCCCCAGAAGTTTGTGCAAGCGGAACAGTTCACCCAAGTTTCGATCCCTCTCTGCCTGCAAAGCCTGCGACGCCAGTTGTGACCAGTAGTTTGCTTCCCATTCACTGAGTTGCCTCCTACGTGTCCTGCGCGCGTGATTCAAATTTCGGCGTGCTGTGTATACCACCAGCTGTTGTGCTTCGTCCCACGGGTGTTCACATTGCCTAGCCTGTCGGTCCCTTTGCTGTGCTAGCGCCACGTTGCTATCTAATTGTTTGAGTTCATTCCAATGTCCTTCTAACCATGGTCGTGCCTTATCCACCTCAGCTTCTCCTAGAACTCTCAACGCTGCTTGATTGATTACATACATCAACAATTTGAGTCCAAGTCAAAGAGGCGTCGTGATCCTGTGTCCGCAGGGCCTGGATGTTGGTCGTGATCTCAGCTTTGGCGTCTAAATGTGCTAACCGTGGTACCAACCCCCCACAATTTAGCGACATCAGGTTTAGGAGTGCACCTTTGAGTACCGACCCTTGGTAACCACATCTTACCCTGTCTCAGAGTCAACGCCAATGGACACTGATCAGCGTACCCTATCCATGTATAAAGCGTCCTCATGGCTCCCATGCAGGAGGTTCGTGAAATGCTTTACACTGCGTCAGATGCCACGTGTGTCTTCCATCGAGCAACCAATGGTCCAGTGCATGTTCGGAACCAAAACGGGGGTGTGCCCAGGTGCTCCTATTATTTTGTGCGAATTGACTTGCCGCGTCAATGAAACCAGATTCCCTACACCACCCCAGCCATTCCAAACCAGTAGGCGACCGACGCGGATACCCATGTGGTCCCAAAACATCCCCCCAGTCACCATGCTCCCTACGTCCAAACTCCGCATTAAAGTCACCTGTCACTACGCATATGGCGGTCCCTGGAGCGTGTCCTAACATGTCCACCACCTGTCTTCGCAGTTCGCGTCTCTCACCTACCGATGCATCCGAAGTTGGGGCATATATACCAACAACTGTCCCGGACCCAATTGCCACCACCTCTACCACCTAGAAGTCATTGCGAATGCTACGCGACCTGTACACAAAACCCATGTCTGTACGGAACCAACCCCTTGATGGTTGAGTCCCAGCCTCTTACATTCCAAGTCAGCATTTTCAACCTCCTACTATTCCTTTGTAGTGTTCGTTCTCTACGCTCATTTTCGGCTAACCTCTGTTTTGTGTAATTCTGTTTTTGCAATTTTGCTAACTTTTCTTTCGCGTTGCACTTGAGAATTTTCCGAGTAATCTCCTTTTCTGGACTTTACTCCTGCCCTGCTGTTGTGCAGTTTCCAGCATCTCTGCAAGATGCCTCTTACCTGTGCGACGACATATTCCACTACCGTACCAACACCTCGCGCACGTGTGTTTTGACGCACCATCTGCCTCCTCTATACCCCTCACATCCCAACCACTCTAGGTGAACCCTCAGTATCCCTTAGGGATGACACCTTTGAGCCCTAGACTCCAGTGTAACCTAGAAAAGACCACCTATGAAGGTTTTCAACCAACGGGTGGGCCAGTCACGTTGATCTATCCCCTCGCCCTAGGTTGTGAGGGAAGAACTAACCGCGGTGGCAAGTTCAACGTCCCTTGAACCAAAACGGGCAAGAGTCGCACACTCCCGACCTCCCCGCTTTACCGCTACAACTTTTTCATTCCTAAAACCATTATGGAGGTACGCCAAACCTATGTTAAGGAATGGGATGGGTTGGCCCTTGGCCCTACGCGTCCTTTTATCGTCTCGCGAGGTACGAAGTTCACGCTGTGCATCTGTACATGTGCACTAAATTCAGCCAAGGGTCATGTCCTGAAGTTAGTTAAATGCCAAGGTTGCTCCGGCAGCGCCCACTTGAAGGGCTGTGTGCATTCGCCGCCGAGGCTGTGGACTATGCCAAAACCTTAAAATGCGATGTCTGCCAACGACACCGCCATGTCGCTCCAGCCAGAGCAGCAGCTCCACCTAAAGAAGTCAGCCCAAACCAGATCGTCGGTGTGGATACGATTTACCTACAAGGACTTCAACCAGGTGGAAAGACCAAGATGGCCCTCAATATGGTGGATTGGGCCACACGATTTCAGCTGGTGATCCCACTCCAAGATCATACTCCTCGAGCCGCACGGCAAGCTCTTATGCACTGGATCCGGATCTTTGGGGTACCGGAACGCATCTATGATGACCTGGGAAAGGAGTTCAGGGGCTGCTTTGAAATGATGATGGACCAGGACGCCATCATCCTTGACCCGGGTTCGTTAGAATCGCCAACACAGAGATCACTGACGGAGCGAGCAGGAAAGACTTACAAGGAGGTGTTCTCCAGGACGACCATGGATGCAGCATGCAATAACTGGGACGAATGGCATGAGACGGTGGACGTTGTAACAGCCACCATCAATCGGCTGACAAACAAGTCTGGCTTCAGTCCCATGCAGAGAATGTTGGGGTATAACCCCAGGATCCCCGGAAGCAACAAGAGCGGTGGATTCAATGATGTGTCAGCGGCATCCCGATACGAAGCAGGAGATCTACAAGTTCGACGATCCATGAGACTGAGGACAGCAGCAGCCATAGCTTACTACAAGGCCGACTGCGACCAGGCCTTGAGGAACTCTCTCCATGCCGGTCACCGGGTATGGCATCACTATGAGGTAGGTCAAACGGTCTACTACTGGAAGAAGGGGATGGAACAACCCAAAAAGGACCATCCATACTTTTGGCATGGGCCAGCCAAGGTCATTTTGACCAATCTACCGACTACTGTATGGGTTGCCCACCAAGGGAGAATCATCAAGCCTGTCCAGAACATCTTCGACCAGTAGCCGATGAGGAGAAATTCATCCTGACGGACTGGATCCAGGACATCCTGGACACCAAGCAGAAGCTCATGGATTAGGAGTACAAGGGCTACATCGTCCTCGATGAGAAGCCGCCGGACATCATGGACATGCCTCCCATCATTGACAAGGACTTCGTTGGACCTCTACCTCCTCAAGTACCAAGCAGGAAAATCACGGGAAAGCATCCACCAGAAGAAGTGGAGTTCAAACCAGATGCCTATGACATCAAACGACGACGAGCTGAAGAGGAAGAACCACAAGATCAACTTGGTCAACCAGCTACACCGAGATCACTGTCGATGGCACCAACAACACCGCTCGTTCCGAGGACTTCGAGATGCTGAGACCAGGAGAACAACCAGCTAGTGAGCTGGATCAACCAGAAGAGATCACCAACGAGGAGACTGCGGCTGAATCAGCCCGAGGTGAAATCCCACAGCCAGTGGACGACGAGAATCAGGACAGGCCACTGGAACGTGGACAAATCAGAGCTGGAGAACAACTTGAAGAAGGTGCTGAAAGACCAAACAAGAGACATAAGGCAGAATTGCTGGAGATCCTATACCAGCAGCTGGAATCGGTGATGACGAACCGGAAGAGGAAGGAGACCAGCTACAGAACCATGGACAAGAAGACCAAGGCAAAGTTTGACAAGGCAATCCTCAAGGAGATCAACAACAACCTGAAGTCGGGAGCTGATCAGGCTCTCACCACAGAGGAGTCGGAGAAGATCCGGCGCGATAAGCCCGATCTTGTGATGAAGAGCAGGTATGTCCAGGTATGTACTGACTGAAAAAGCAGTTGAACCTCATGAGGTGGGAGAATCTCAGTAAAGAAGGTCTGCTACTGGACAACAGTGACGGAGAAGTTCTCAAAGCCAAAGCCCGACATGTGATGAAGGGCTACTCCGAAACAAATGCAGAAGACCTTGAATCGACCACACCACAGGTGGCGAAAGACACGGTCTTCTTCGTCCTTCAGATACTGGCAAGTATGAGGTGGCTGGTGGGGCATCTGGACTTCACCCAGGCCTTCCACTCAGGAGGCTTATTTGAGCGAGAGCTGTATTGCTCACTTCCACCAGAAGGAGTACCAGGACTACAAGAACGACAGCTTCTGAAACTGCTCAAGACCTGCTACAGGTTGACAGATGGCCCATATCAATGGTATCAACACTTGAGCAGGCTACTGGAGTCCCGAGGATACACCAAGAGCAAAGCCGACTCGTGCTTGTTTCTTCTCTTCAACCAGGACAAGACTGAGATTGACGGTTTGATCGCCCTGGCCACCGGTGACATGATCCACGGAGGTAACGATCGACACTGGAATAACATGGAGTGGCTCAAAGGTCAGTACAAGATGGGCAAGTACACTACGGGAAGTGGCAAGTTCACCGGGAAAATGACTGTACCAGCGTCAGATGGATCAATCATGGTCCGTCAACAACCCTACATCGAGGAGAAGGTCATCAAGATCCCGATTGAAAAGAACCGAAGAAAGCAGAGATACTCCCGCGGAGATCAACCAGCTCCGCACCCTCCTGGGCAGCCTGTCATGGGTTGCCAAAGAGACGAGACCAGACGTTGCTGGACGAGTGGCATTACTACAACAGGTGATGCCAACACCTATGATCAAGGACCTCATCGACGCCAACCAGATCACCGATGAGCTGAAGAAGAACCCGGAACTTGGCATCAAGGCCCGACCCATACCAATGGACAGGCTGAGGGTCGGCGTGATCACTGACGCAAGCGGGGGAAATTCTGGAACTGAATACTTAGAGGACACTAAGCAGGACTTCTGGGAAGAGACCCAGACTAGCTGGATCAAACATCACGTTCTCCTACGACGTCTTCTATTTCATCCAGGCGCTGCTCCCGGAGGACCAGATCTCCATAGTATATAGAGAACAAGAACTACGCAGAGCCAGGAGGAGATTATCAACGACAAGTGGGACGAGAAGGAGGCGATTCAAGAGAGAACAGGCTCACCATGGACTGGAACAACCACCTTCCTGAAGTCGACCGTTGAAGAGGAGATCACCAAACCAATCAACGAGCGATTTCTGCAGCTGGCAAAGAAGCACAGTCAGGGTGGATACCTTGTGGTCTACTACGACGCCAACCTGGAGCGTCAGAAAGGCTGGAGATGATGACGATCGCGTCATGGAAAAGCTACAAGCTCAAGCGATGCACTGTCAACACTCTCAGTGCGGAGTGTCAAAGTATGATACAGGGCATAGGAAACCTTCACTGGCACCGATTCCTCCTGACCGAGATCTCAGGAACCAAGCTGAAGCTGGAGACCCGGGAGAAGGAGCTGAGCCGGATTCCCTTCATAGCAGTCACGGACTCGAAGTCCCTCTATGACACGGTGACCAAGTGCAGAAACACTTCGGCCCACGTGGATAACAAACGCACGGCAATTGACCTGACCATCCTGAAGGACGACCTCACCAAGACCAAAGGCCAAGTCAGGTGGGTCTGTGGAACCAACATGGTATTAGATTCCCTCACCAAGAAAATGCCTCCTGGGTTCCTCCAAAAAGTCATGACTGAACATGGGCATAGGAAACTCTTAGAAATCCACGCTTTGTTCAACATAAAGCGTGGTCGATGTGAATCTGATGATTCTTGCAGTGCCTTGAACAAAGCGCATTCCTAGTGGATGTGGGCTCTAGCCCTCTGCGTGTGGGGGAAGACACACGTGCAGCATCAGCAAAAGGCGCTGGCTGCTTCTTTGTTTGTCTGCATACAGTAAATATATCAAAGATAACTGTATGCATATGTACAACCACGAACCAAATGGAGTTTGGAGTTGGAATATTTGGGTTCCTGGCTAGCTTTGGCCTCCCAAGATTTCATGTCAACATCTTGGAGGGTATCGACCGGGACGGTGGGGGAAATACCCTGAAATTGCCGAATATTTGGTGCCTGGATTCAGACAGTGGCCAAGGGGCAAAAATCTGAAAAGGAATTCGGTGAATCCCTTCAGGGCAGTCTAATCTGTGGAATTAACAATATTATAAGTACAGACTCTTGGTGATATCATGTGACTGTGATATCACATGATATCACCCGATCAAGCCGTTCCATTTCTGTTTCTGAAGTGAACAAGCAACATGACCTGGAATGGCGACTGCGGACTTTCCAAAGCTGTGATTTTTATCGCAACTTGGGTTGCATCCCTGGAATCGTAATAACCATGGAAGGGCCCCACTTATACATGGAACCTCCCCAGTTATATCATATTATACATGGGTTATTATATGGCTTATGCAGCAACTGGTACCAACTGCTGCATTTCAGCAACTCCGTCGACAGCTGCCGGATAGCCACAATCCTGTCCAGCGTCCTGCGGGAGTTCAATCATGTTCAATCCCGTATGTGGCTTGCTATTGCCCGGCTATCGCCCGGCTATCTGTTTATTGTAAAGCCACCACGTAAAAAGGTGTTCAAATAAACCAAGCGTCCAAGCGTTCACCAAACGGTAAGGTGAAAATCCAAAGCAATCTATTCTGTTATCTTTTTAGGATGGTGCTAGCGGGATGGGGAATATGTTGAGTCGAAAATGGTCGGTGCATGTCGGTGCCATATTTTTCCTCTATATCTGGATGATCACTACAATTGGCAACGCCATGGCAACGAACTTTTTTCAGCTCCCCACGGAACTTGCTGCTAGCTATGCCTGCCAACCTTGTATTGACATCTTTATGTCTTATCAGTATTCTCTTTGTTGGGGAACAGGTCCAAACGTTTTGAAGAATCAAAGCTCTTGTTGTTGAATTCACAACATTGTAGTTTTGACAACCGGGGTTCTGCTGGCGGCATCCGCATTCCTGATATGTATAATCACCCAAGCAACATCATTAAGTCAGCCCTGCAATCCTATCTACTAGTCCAGGTGGTCTGGTGGGCAACTTGAATTACAGAAACGACATGTGAATGACAAATCCAGGATGCTATACTCTTCAGGTAACTAGCCTGGTTGCATCAAAGTCTATGATTCTTGATAGCCTGATAGCCATTCGGATCAGAAAATGTGTTCAGCTCTTTTTCGAAAAGCACTCCAGAGCTGCATCTACATTGGTCCCAAATATACCGAGACTTGGTGTCTGATCAATTCGTTGCTATGACTACCCTGCATCAATGTTGCAGTTTACTGAAACCCATTTGGCCGATGGTTTTCCCGGGAAATGATTCTTCTATTTCAAATGCTTTCCCAAACTATCATTGTTTGGACTTACCATCCTTGTCGGTCATAGCGATGTCCGAGACATGAGCCACACAAGTACAATTTTTGGATTCTATCCGGTGGTTGTACTGTGATGCACTAACAAACAGCGTTTCAGATGTACCCGCCATGTCTGCTGCTTGTAGCCACCATGTTTGCTTCTCTGCTATTAAACTTACTAAACATCCCTTGGTTCGCTGATGATATCCTTACTTTCCCATCCTTACTTTCCCATTCTGCCGAGTCAAAAAGCTGCTTCAAATATTGCTTTTTCCGGTTGATGTGGTTGATGCGGAAGTCCGAATCGTTTTCACAACTCCCGGAACTCCCGGAACTCCCAAGCCTCCGCAATGTTGGTAATCCAAACGCTTTGGCCTGTACTGCCTGGTTTTCGAGGCTGATGGGGCCGATCAGGTAAGGGACGGGCCATACCGTGCCATGATCTTGTTGGGATGTTCCATGTTCAACCGGTTCAACCCCCATGTGAAGAAGGAATCCACCCAAAAATCCTCGTCTCTGCTGGATCAGTTATAGAGCACATGAATCACCAATGTTGGTCGATATATGGCATTTGTCTTGGCTGCCTGTTTCCCATGTATGTCTTTGATGCTCCCCAAATTCTCCAGTGTCGAGTCGAGTCGGAGAAATCCATGCTGCTGGGCTGCGATTCACCGCAAAAGCGTTGCCAGTGTCGCAGGTGGTACCCAAAACCTGCTTGTGTGATCCAGCAACTGGTTGGTTTATTCGTGAATGTGACCGGAGGTCTATTGTATTACGCCTGAAGTAATGAGGGATATTATCTCCGATAACGATCCAAAAACATATCAATGACGTGTTCAAACACTCCCAGTGATGGTACCCGACGAACAATGGTCGCTTCTCATACACTTCCCGTACGAGAAAGGGGGATTTTCATAGGTGCGAATGGCTACGGTAGGGATTAAAACCTTGGGCTATCAACCAATAGTCACTCTTGGCACCACTCATTTGGAGATGGGAATCGAATGTGACCAACAACAACGGGAATCTGTAAAGATGGAGGAAAACGGATATATCTGAGATGTAGCAATAGAAAGAAAATATGATCAATGATTGATAGAATGAACATATCTCTATATACATATATTATATAATATATATAATAGAGGAACATATGTGTAGCCCAAACCCCCACGAACCCTAAACCACCCGCAAATTTGTTCCCACATATTCCCAAGATTTGTTCGTTTGTCCATGGCAGCTTCTCTAACACCAGACATGCTCTATTTGCGAATATAGACGAGCATCAAAGCAGGTTTGAAGGAGACACGGACAGTTATTTGTAATCCACCAATCTGTCAAGTCAACTCATGTCAACTCATTGACTCAATTTGTCAAGTACCTTTCAGTGCATTGCAAAGAGAACCAGAACGGCGCAGGCCAATTTCAATCCACCCATTAAGGGCTGCCGGAA